CACATTGTGCCACCTTGGCTGTCCAAGATCATGAGCTTGCCAATGGCAGCGCTCATTTATCAGGGCGACTTGGTTGCAAGATGAGGGTGTGGCTTGCTTGTTGGGCCCTGTCCGGCCAAGCTCAGAAAGCGCGGCACATGGCACTGAACTGAAGGAGTCTTTCGGGTCCTCTACTTTGAATTCCTCCATATCTTGGTGGTCTACCTGGTTCTTGGTATCGGGGCTGATGACATTTTCGTGTTCAAAGACACCTTCTGCCACATTGTCAAGGCATCCGAGCCCAGCCCCCCTGCACGCGTATCCGTGAGTCTAAATCCGAAGTCGAAGGCTGAATACCCTTTCCTTGCTGGTGGCCGGCTCTCCGAAGACCAGGCCAGAAAAGGATGACATAAAAGAGACCTCATTCCAATTCCGGGCGCTGAATTTCAGGAGATCAAAGTCCTGTCGCTGACGTATCAACGTGCCGGCGTCGCCATCTTCAACACTTCCTTCACCACAGCGGCAGCCTTCACATCCGCATCGGCGCCCGAGATTGCAAGCGGCCCCATTGAGTCGAGCTGCCAGCTTGGATCCAAGGTGTCCAAAGCAATGCCCATGAGGACTTGCGGATGGTTCGTGCTGGACTCAGAGACATGAAGCAAATTCCGTTGAGAGAAATAGCGAAAGAAATTAATCGGCCGAAATGGAAGCCAATTTTCGATCGCGGCCCCAAGGCGGCCACCTGCATTATCATGGTCTACGCTCGGCACTCGGACCCTGTTTGTTGTGCCAGAAAAAGAAAGGAACGACCATGTCATCAAAATCACATATCCCACATTGAAATTTCATTTCACGTGCCATCTGAACAACACTTCCGTGGCAAATCGCGATGTTTGGTGGGGCTTGCGTGGGCGCGGGGAGCCGAGTGCGGCTTGGATTTCTGCTTCAGTGCGACTCGCATTGATTCTTCATGCTTCGGCCCCACTTTCAGGGCCCCTCCCCGACCCCCAAACCTGAGCTTTAAACCACGTGGAGTCTAAAAGCTTAAGCTTAAGATGCTTAAACCCAGGGTAAGTCGGAAAAGTAAGTCGCGCTGGACCCAGAACAGAGTGCAACATTCTTGCCAGAGGTCGATTTCATTTCCAGGGTAGCACAAAGTGCAACAAGTAACCGGGACCGCACAAGTCCGCTTCCCCGGGGATGGTTGAGGTGCTGACGCTGACGTACTTTCCTCCTTTGCTTCTGATGTGGCACCGGCGCCTGCAATCCAAGAGATGTTTTTGCCCCAGCCTCACGGAGCGGGAGACCTCGGTGGTGCCAACGCAAGGCGACAAAGTCAAGGCCTGCCGGCCCCCCATCCCATGCTTGGAAGCGGTGTACACAGTGCAACTGAAACACAAGCGAGCATGCAGTGTCCGCTGCCCCGAACAAATCAGCGATGCCGGGTCGGAGCCTGTGACAGGAGGAGCCGATGGGATTTGTAGAGACCTTCTTCGAGAAGCTTTACATACCAGTGGCTCGGATCGCCAGATTAGTTTACTTTGCTGTTTATTATTGCCTGCTGTTGATGTTGCCAGGTGATGTCCAAGAAGGTGGGCCAAGTTCGGATCTTCGCGTTGATGATCTTTGTGATCCTGCTCGTGGTCGCCATCCAAGGCGCGAGCGGCTGATTTTGTTCAGCTGGCGTCGTGTGCGACGCCAACCTGTTGGGCAGGAGTTGCCTTCGCCTTGCAGCTGACCCCGCCGCGGTCCGAGGAGGTGTGGTTCCCAAGCCCGGGCCTCAGAATGGAAGGTCCAAGAGGCCCTTCAGAGGCATGAAGTTTGAAGAGCCGCAACGCTCATTTGGCCTAGAGCGAGCTGTGCCATAGGCAATCATATGCTGCTGAGCCTTCAAGACTTTATGGCGGATAACTTCTACACACCAGCATTTGAGAACTATGGCGCCGGCGCCTGAGCGGCTGAGTGCCTTTAGTTCCCATGCTCGGGCGTGTTCATGTGCAACAGCTCGGTTCCTCATACCATCGCAGCATGAAATCGTTCGTTTTTGGTCTCCGTGTTTCCCGGAGGATTGACGTTTCCTGCTTTCTGCAGTGCAAGGGTTGGAACTAAGTGCACCTCTCACAGCAATGTAGCACCATCAACAATTGGAGCAGGTGAAAGCGTACTCACAAGGGCGCTTGAGTCTCATGGCGGAAGCGGAGTGACACCCACTTTCTATCAGCACAAATCAAGTAGCAACGCTTGAAGCCCTTATTGATGAATCGCTGAGGTCGTCACGGTATTCTTTGGCATCTCCGGCTTGGACCGTGCAGGTATTGACGTGTATAATCCAGGAGCCCCTTTTCCGCATCAGCATCTTTTGCCCAATTCGGACTCGGAAGGTCTGTTTGACGCCAGGAGCATTCACGGGCACTGCCATTTACGACAGCGGCTTCGACTTGACTACCCAGGAGGCCTCACTCACGAGGGATCACAGGAGCCCAATACCCATGCAGCTGTGAGAGTAGAGAGCCACTGCCTCGGGTGGATGCCAGGCGCAGACGGCTCTGCTGGGCATTTGCTCAAAGGTGCACAACATCACATGTGAGATGGAGGTGTGGTGTCTGTTTGTGGCCTCTGTGGTGTTGTTTGGCAAATGGCGTTGTGCCCGTGTGCTCTGGCGTCGCCGCTTTCAGACGCTTGCTGATTTGCTGAGCTGCCGCTGCCAGCTGGCAGGGGTGCGACAACGCGGGGTACAACAGTCTGATGATGCAGACAACAGAAAGGACGTTGGGCTCCGGGCAGGCAAACCTGAGCAGGGAGTGAACAACTGAACAACCTGTGGGCTATGGTGTTGCTTCCCTTGCCAGGACAGACGCCTGCTTCCTGGAAGACTTCAAGCACTGGATGAACGGGACATTGCCTACTGGGACTTTGTTCACAGAGAAGCTCCTGGAGTTTCGCCGCAGCGCAAACAAAGGCCAGCAACAGACGAAGTTCAACCTTCAAGAGCGCAACCCACGCAGGTGACTACTATGGGGATTTGATGGGACCCACGGTGAACTACGAGAAGGACTTCCTGTTGCTTTGGAGTGTGGGTTTGTTTCATCCTCACCGCCCCTTCTTACAGCTCCGCTTCTTACAGCTAAGATGGCCGCAAACTCTTCAGGACATTGGCTTTGTCGATGGGGAGCTGAAGTACGTGGCCCTTCATTTCCGCAGCGCCATGAAAAAGCGGCTACCTTTCTCCCTAGGCAGGCAGTTCTTGGATGTTCTTGGTCTACAGGCCGGCTCGGGGCCTCATTAGCACATGGCACGCAGGCACCGCGATTCGTGACCACATCCGACAGTGGATGATCGAGCAGCGAGGAAATGAGCGATATGAGCTGCATGCATTGGCCTTGGAAGCCTTATGACGGACAGGATCGTTGCCTGCAAGTTTGCAGAGCATGAAGTTCCACGGGAACGGCGAATTCCAGAGGCCAGAGCTTGCTTTATGCTATTTTATGCGCCTCACGCAGTGGCAACCCGGCAGGTATGACATGGGGGAGGAGCTCATTAATGGCCTTTTCTCCGGCGTGGCCAGACCCTTTGCGGTCACAACAGCGCTGCAGCACTGCCTTGCTGACTTCAGGCCATTGCCATGCCCATTTCCTTCCTGGTCTTGCTGTGCTCCACGCAGAATGTGGTGGGGATCCAATGCAAGTAGTGCACAATGCCTCACGAGCAAGCCTGTTGCAGGTCGTGGCGATTTATGCAGTCATCAGTGTGGCATTCATTGTGCCTCGGCAAGCGGAGACTGGTGGAAGTCGACGCAATAGTATCGACCAGGTCATGTGTGTGCTGGGCTTCTGCAAGAGCGCGATGGATTGGGACTTGGGCGTGGGCGAGCAGCTCAGACCAGGAATGCCGAATTGCCGAACTGCCTTGGAGTGCTGAGGTGAAGCCATTGCTGGCGTCATTGTCATTGGTTACTCGGTCGACTACGTGGTGCACCTTGCTCACATGTACTGCGAGAGCAGTCACTTTGGTCACTACACCCGCCGCTAGCACCGCATGTCAGCTTGCGTTCATGCTCAAGACTTGCCACACTCAGTCGTGACTTGGGAGCTGAGGTGATGCGCGTGCCAAGTTTGCCATTCGCAACATGGGCTCAACAATTTTTGCAGGCTGGTCCAGCTAGGGCTTGGAGGGGGATGAGGCATGTCAAAGACACTTGCAGGTGCTCTCACCACAATGCTCGCCGGTGCAACGATGTTTATTTGCTGGTTTTCCTTCTTCATTAAGATGGCCATCCTGATCTGTGTCACGATCATGCACGCCAGAGCGAGCTGTTAGCCCTGCCCTAGCTGTAACTACCTGTGTCACAGGTACTCCTTCCTTTTCTCCCTGCTGTTCTTCATGTCACTTCTTTGGCTGGCAGGACAGTTGTTGCGGCGTCGACCTGTCGGCCTGGGAGTTGAGGGACTCAGGAGATTTGGGCTTGCCGAGGACCGGAGGACAACTTCGGCTGCCTGGCAGCAGCGAGGTCGGAGCTCGGGCACCGGGGGGACATGAGAGCCGCGACCACAAGAGGAAGAGACAGGGACATGCGACAGCAACTGAGGCACCATTCCGATGGACAAGCTGCTTCACCGTCCAGAGGCCAAGGTGGATGCCTCCATCATGAACGACACGCCTCAGGACTGAGCCAATGTTCGATGCAGTCTTAGCCGGGTCTGAATTGACAGAGCACACAATCTGCCATTGCTCAAAGTTGCTGAGATTCCCATGCTTGCACAAAACGGTGAAGCTGAATGACTGGCCAGCTTGAGTCCCTCAGAGTCTGGAGCAGCAAGCCGGAAGTGAGTTGTTCTCGATCCCTGCCTGGCAACTTGCTTTGAACAGGAGGTAAACTATGCCAGCCCTTCCAAAGACGGGAAAGAGGGCGACCTGAAAGCTGAGGACTGCCACTCCTTGCCCTCGTTGCATTGCCTGCCCACGGTCCTGAGGAGATTGACGAAGGGACTCGCTCTGCACCCGTTCCAACGATGAAGGCTTAGGGCGGCTTAGGGAGACCCTGGCAAATGCCATATACGTATGCGTACTTCCCTGCTGTTCCTGCCATGCTCTGTGCCCGGCGTGCCCGGCGTGGCCAGCGTGGCCAGCGTGGCCAGCGTGTAGGATCGTTTAGGTTTTCCCAGTGCCTCCGGCTCGGAGGCGACTTGAGCCCAGGCCGGGCGCTTAAAGCGCCACGGCGTCACGGTGGCACGTGCCACAAGAGACCTCCCGCTGCTGGCGGATGGGCGAGAGCGCCCGCCGCCCGCTCAACTTTTTCCAAGGTCCAAAGCAATACCCCAGACCAGCATCCACAGATCAAACAAATCAAGCGAATCAGAGGCATCGAGTTGAACATAGCCAGCGTAGCGCCAGTGTGGCAGGAGTGTTGGCGTGTCGTGCAGTCTGTTGGATGCGGAGTCTGCGGGAGTCGTGAATTCGCGTCCTGGGTAGCAATGTTATTGATTATTTTGTGCCGGCTTGCCGTCACCCAAAGGGGCGGATGACTTGCCCGTGCATGAAGCACATCCATGACAAGATGTTTCGCTGCATGTAAAACAAAGGGACCTACCATAGCATCATAGCATCCATTGGTACCCTCAGTGTGCAAAAGCGCAGATTGACTCTTACAGGATCTAACGCGCAGATACTCGTGGGGCGATGATGCTACCTAAGCTTGTGTTCATGAATGAATTCTATTCTTGGAATGGAAGCCAAGAAAAGACGAATCCAGAGGGGGATCTATATAGGCATGTATGATTACACTGTGTAAGTTGTGAATGAAGTGACGTAGCGCCACAGTGAAGTACGCACCTGAGTCTAGAATTTAAGACATGCGATGCATTGTTGGCTGTATGGCGAGTCTAGTGTTGCTTTACTATGCCGACCTCCTAAGCATTTACAACATCAATTGCTCATACGCAACGATATGATTCTTGACAGGTTGCATGCATCTACGATCATGTTGCCGAGGTCTTCCTGTTCTTGCAAGCTAGGTAAATATCAAAGTGGCAGGTTGAACCGGCGACCAAAATGATAACGAAGCGATGCACCTTCAAGTCGTTCGATTGAGACTTTCGAGCTGAAGCTGGCAAAACGCAGCCCACCGCCCGAGCACGCACAAACCAAACATTGCATCCAGTTGCCGAACAGTTGCGCAGCCATTTATGGGGAAGGTTATAGTTCTTGGACTGGCTGCCATTTGCCGAGCGCCAGGCCGACCTGCTCCTGGCTCGGACGACATGTTCGCCGCCAGGCTGTGCTTAGAGAGGCGCCAGCTGCGCACAACAAGCCGGTCAGGGCGGGTGGTGATTTGGACAACCTCTTCGCATCTTACGCCAAGGAGATCGGTCAACCCAAAGCAAGGCGCATTTGCCCACCGTAGCACCACAGATTCATTCCGTTCATGGCGCCAGGTGAGGAAGGTGGCCAACGGCCGGCGCCGGGCCGGGCTTTCTTCGCTCTTGCTGGGCGTTGCATCGGAATCAACGTGCAAAAGCGAGGGAAAAGGCGACTTCGGCAGCTTGTTCAAGCGGCTCTGAATTTGGCGCAGCTATCGTCAAAGTACGTTTAAAGGGAACGTAGAATTAGAACTGAGCTTGAGAATGGATGCGTTGTGCCGCTATCACGTAAACTAGCTATTTATTTGAATGGGATACCAAGCTCGATAGTGAATTATTTAGCAAATTGGCTAGCTCGCTAGCTGGCAAACTAAGCTTAGCTGTCCAGCTGTCTTGAAGCTAGCCTAGCCTCTAGCTAGTTGGGCCGTTGTGGAACTAGATACATGCTTGACCAGCTAACTGACCCACACCTGCACCTCGTTCAAGACAAAGACGCAGAGAAAAAGCACGGCGCATGATCAATGATAGACAACCCGGGCTCTGCTTCTGTAGGGGCGAGCCAGGAGATGCCCCGGCAAAAAAAAAACGGGCTTTGCAGTTGAATAATCACGACCCCTTGACCCCCAAAGAGGTACCCCAGAAGGGTGTGCATGCATGTGATGTTAGAGGCCCCGTTGACTGCATGTTCCAAGTGACTTGTCGAATGGCAATGACCATTTGGCTCAAGATGCCTGTATCAAAACCAGGGTTTGCGCTCGCCTATCGGACTGGGGTTAATAAGGGTCCCGGTTTCTGGTTCGCTGTGTTTCTTTCCCTGTTGAGTGGTTATCAGCCGTAACTGCTTTTTGGGATTAGGCCCCCTCAGTCCGGTAGTCAGCGCACTTCGTGCATGGACCCGGCACCACCGGAGTTTTCTGCCCGTGGTAAAAGGGGCGGGTGGACGCATCGCCGAAAGCTCTACTACGAGGCCTTCGACGAGCTTACCCGGTGGGCCTGGCGGGAGTTCAAGGTTGGGGTGGCGAGAGTCGCCTGGGAGGACGCATCGGATTTGCACCGGAGCTCCCTCCTCGGTTGGCAAGCAGATTTTTCCGACAACGCGTATCGGCATCTGCGAGATATTTACCCCGACCTCTACGACGCCGTCATCGCCCGTGGCCGACACCAACCAATCCCAATCCTACAACGGGCACAGGCCGCAGCTCAAGGCGCGGCAGGGCAGCCTCCAGATCCAGCACCAGCCCAGCCTTCGCAACAACCAAGCACCCCATCAAGTCCATCCTCCACCACAACTGTGTCCACAATCAAGGCTGCAGCTCCAAGCGCAGCACCGACACAGGCAGCAGCAGGGCCGGGAGATCAGGCTGCAGCTCCAAGCGCAGCGGTTCCCACAAGGACCAGCAGCTCTGAGAGCCCGTCCCGACCTTCATCCTTTCCGCCTGTGACAGCAGGCCGGGGAAGGTACACTGCTGCAGGGAGGTCCTCATCAAGGAGGAAGAGGACGCCACCGACAAGGCGACACCCTTCTCCTCCACCGGTGCGGAAGGCGTCAACCCGACGCCCACGATCCAGAACTCCCCTCAGGGCTGCAGCTCCAAGCGCAGCGAGGTCGAGGACCAGGAGCCACAGCTCCCCAACACCCCCGGCCCGTGCATCCCTGAGCAGCCGGCCGCTGATCTTGGCGCCGGCCAACTGCGCCTACCCGACAACCCGGGTGGACAGCACGGGAATCTGGATCCTCCAGCACCGACACGAGGGAGGTGCACGACCCACACGCCGGGCTCCATACCCGGTACCCACTGAGGAGCCGTACGATCTTCCAGACTCGTATTGGCATCACCCGCCAAGGGCAGGGTCATCAAGCAACCCTCCAAGAGGACACCGGGCCGAACATTTCGACCTGAGTGCCTCCCCGCCGCCCGAGAGGTCTGCGCGGGAGGTTTGCTCAGGCTCGGCGGCCTTCAACCCGGACAGGGTGTACGAGGCTGAGCAGGTCAGCATCAAGAGGCCTGCACCTGCCGGGCGCGACTCATCCACAGCACCCGCAACAAAGACCGCTCGGATTGTTTTTACCAAGCGGGAAGCCAAGGTCAAAGCGCCCCCACAAAGCGTAATTGACCAGGCAGCTGCGGATCGCGCTGCGTCAAAGGCCATACCTCCGCCACCGCTGAGAGCACCACCAGCACCCCCAGCACCAGTGCCAAGGGCTGCAGCTCAACGCGCAGCATCGGTTCCCAAATCGATTAGCGGAGTTCAACGGCCCGAGACGCCGCCCAAAGGCTACAAGCGGGCGCCACCCTCACCGCCACCACAGGTGAGGTTCAAGGCAGCACCGGCCCCCAAGTTGCCGGTTAAGCAGCCTCCAAGTGCAGCAGCACCCTCCGGCGACGGAACGCCCGATTTCGGCCAACCTCAAGCTGAGGCCCGGGAGCCGATCACTGCCTGCCTTGATTGGCATAATACGCTCGATATCGCCATCGAGCCCAGCGGTGCGCCCAAGGATTGGTTACTGCGGGTACTTGCAAAGCTGTACCGTAACCATTTTCCGATCCAATTTCGTATCGTGAGTTACTGTCAAGCCCGTGAAACACGGGAGAGCACCCTTCGGCTTGCCACGGAGTTCACCCGCACTTGCAACGACTCCATAGAAGGTTTGGGCACCCCTCCGTTCGGAGACGTAGTCCTCACCTGGAAGCGGGTTGGACCATCTGGCAAGGCTGCAGCTTTAGCGCAGCTGGGGGCGAGCGTCATCATCGACGACAACAACGCCACCCTGAGGGAGTGCCGCATTGCAGGCGCAATCGGCATTTGTGTCGAGCGGCGAGACGCCAATCGGGCGCTCTACGAGGCGTTGGACGAGCTCTACCAGTACCTCAACCAACACCGACGCCTCCTCCGTCCAGCCAGAGTACTCGACCAGACAGAGTATTTTGAAGAAGTTGGCAACCGCCCCCACTCTGCAAGGGGCGGCCGCGGACTTTTCCGTTGATCTGGCACCGCCGGAGGCTGCAGCTCAAGCGCAGCAAAGGCACCGGTTTCCAACACCGGTCAAGTGCACCGGTTTCCAACACCGGTTGTAGTATAAGTTTCAAGGGCCGCAGCTTGAAGCGCGGTGTGTCAGCATACGTGAGCCTGGCCTCGTGTGAAAGGTGCATCCGACATGGCATCAGGGATTTCCCCACCTTCGGATGATAGGTCAAGGTCAACCCCTGGGGGAGAATCTAATGAGGAAGACCCTGAACTCGGTGATATTTCGGTACCCGCAATGTCCGTAGTTCCCGTAGGTTCCAGGGCATCCTCATCAAGGGATGTTCGTAGCCGCGACCGAAACGCGACTCCTCCCCGTAGGACTCCCATTGTAGAGGAACCCGATTCAGACTCTACTGCAACCCCCCTTGTATATAGCCCGCAAGTGCCTACGCCCGACCCATCTAGGGACATGAGTGCCGCTGCATTCGTGGCCGGATCGGCATTGCAACGTGCGCATCAAGCTTCGATCGTTGCTGATCAGGCTGCCAATGTTGCCCTTCACGAGCATCGAGCAGCGGACGAGGCACGCCAAAGGCTAGGGGAGGTTGCCGCTGTTGCGCAACAACGGGAGCAGACCTTTAGACAACAGGCAACGGAACTGACATACCAAGCCCAGCAAGCAGTCGAACGAGCCCGTG